CTCCAGCTGCGCTGGGGAAGCGCCGGCCGGGGGCGCAGGGTCTGGGGGCTGCCCGGCAAACCGTGAAGCCGGTAGCACTTGGGCAGCCCTTTTCGCGTGGCTGGGAGGGAGGAGGGGGAGTTAGGGCGGGGACTTTGGAGAATGGGCGGAGTTAGGGCAGGGTCGGGTTGGGAAAGGGGCGGGGCCAGGGCCCCGTGGAGTGTCCTCTTTTTTATTTTTGAAATATGGTAACCCTACTATTGTCATAAGAGATAGAAATGAGACAGACAATATTAAAAAGAAGAACAGGAGTACTTGTGGCACCTTAGAGACTCTAAGGTGCCACAGGTACTCCTGTTCTTCTTTTTGCGGATACAGACTAACACGGCTGCTACTCTGAAACCAGACAATATTAAAACATACAGTCCCATCCCGCCCTGCAATGACAGGATATATTTCTTGTCTCCCACCTCGTCAATATAGGACATACCTGATTTTAAACCATAACTACATTTTATCTTCATTAAAAGGCTTATGGGAGCAATGATAAACTACCACTTTGTCAGCTGATGGGAGGGAGGGTTATTTTGGGTATCTTTACAAGTCTTGGCAATGCAGAAAGCTCTCTCTAACACTTGGGGAAAAAAACACAAAATAGGGCAAAAATCTCGCTCACGTTTCAGAAAGTTTCTGATGAACTTCTATATTTGAGGACACGTTATAGAAATGCCTATGTCCAGTACCAAAAATAGTGTCTTTTGCTGTCCTCACTGCTGTACAACTAAGAGGGGAATAAGTTATCTCACTTCTATTTCAAAATGTGCAGCAGTGTATTAAGAGGCTTACACACAGGAAGTTCTGTCTGATGCTATTTCATGTATTCTATTTTTATCACTTTGTTTGCAGCCAACATCTTCTAGTTCCAACACATCTGCATTCACCAGTTCAAGCCATAAATTCTTAAATCAACTGGCAAGCCAAGAAAATGTCCCAGCAACTGAAGAGATAAAGAAGGTGGTATGTGGATAAAAATGTATTAAACTAAATTATGCAAGAAATGTATCATACTAGCTTTCAGGTTACACACTACAGAAAATATAAAATATGCCAGATTGGGTTGTGCTGTTTTACATTCAGTGCAGGAGGCTTTGAATCAAGACTTTTAAGCCTTTTTTCAGCACACTTTCCCTTTTATGTACACCATTTGCCTGTGTTTTTAACCCACCATGCCTAGAGCGCTGCGCGGATACAAAATGTATATCAGCAGATGTGGATATTCGCGGATAAAAAGCAGATATCTGCAGAGTTACAGGGGTCTAGCCACAATGAGCGAGACCAGCAGGGCCACGGCCAGTGACTGGGCCAGGAACCACAGTGGCAAAGGCAGCAGCATGTTGGGCCGCCGCTGTGCTGCTTTCACTGCTGCGGTTCCTGGCCCGGTCGCTGACCATGGCCCTGCTGGTCTTGCTCATTGTCGCTAGAGCCCTACAACTCCACAGATACTCGCTTTGTATCCAGAGATATAAATTTTGTATCTGCGCAGGGTTCTAACCATGCCATCTGCTGTGAAAAGTGATGTGTACAACTCTAGTGCCTATATTACACTAACACAAACACACCATTGTTAGCACTGATGAAGATAAACTGGATAGTGGGAAGGCATGGCAACCACTTCAACTACTCCTCTTTTCTGTGAATCTCATTTACATGCCAGGTGTATGAATTATGTAAATGAAAAGTGGTGATGTCAGATCAAGATATCAGGGCAGGGCTTGAAAAATCCACTTGACGAGTCATCTGTAGCAAGTAGGAAGCTTTTCAGGGAAAGTGCCATTAGCAGAATCTAAGATTCCAGTAATAAAATATATAGAAATAGAGTCTAAACCCCTAATT